CCAAAAATCATGAAAAGAAGTACTTACCTTACTAAATATTGAAGTTTTTCTACTTTTAAGCTTTTGTTGGCTTGTTGTAGATTATTGGGTATTATTGATTATAGAAGAAGAACCGATAAAAGTGTGAAAAAGATTGAGTTTTTTTATGGTTTTTTTACTGGGTATTGACTCTAAAAGAAGAACCGATTACTAGGTACTTGAGAATGAATTGAAAATTGTCAAATTTAATCTGGAGCAAGAAATGGGTAAGAATTTGTGAGAAAATGAATTAGGGTAAGAATCTTGAGCAGGAGGAATGTAGGAATAAGATCAAAGAGATAAGATTACAATTTACAAAGGGAAACTAAAAACTTATAAAAAAATATTATATTAAGTACTCGGGTCGGGTTAGGTAGGATATTTTTAACCCTAAACCCGACTCCAACCCAAACCCAAATATTTTAATTTAAAACCCAACCCAACCTGAACCCGAATTTTAAAAAAACTCAACCCGATCGGGTTGGGTCAGAACTCGTCGGGTTCGGGTCCCATGCTCTTCCCTACCTGGGATGACATAGGTTGGGTTTGGTTGGTTTTTTGGGTCTACCCGACCCGACACGAGAACAATGACTCATCCACCTAAAATCCGACCCAACCCGCATGAAACAAGATTTCACCTGACCCGATATATAACTTAAAACCTGACTCGATCCGACTAGACACAATATAATTTTTCATTTAATAAAATATATTTAAAAAATGAAAATACAAGAAATCAAATAAATTATAATACAAAATCGAACTCTTTTATAAATAAAATGGAAAAAGTAAAGTAAAAGTGTAAAATTAATTAATAAAAACATAAATAAACAGATTATAATAAAAGCAACATGCAACATAAACAATATTAAATGAAAATTAAGCTTAAATAAGTTCAATTCAGAGGCTAAAGATGCAAAAGGATGAACTAGAATTCAATTAAGGAAACAATCCCTTAAAGAAAAACAACATGCAACATACATCTCCAGACTCCAACCTATAATTAAAATACATGTTCACAACTAAAATTATAAATTCATATTATACTTAAATAAGTTCAAAGTTCAAAGATAATTATAATAAAACGAGATATAAATACGGACGTCTGATGAAAAAAAATCATACATTATCATTGGCTTCACAAGCTCACATTCTTCAATCTTAGCTAACCACTCAAATCCTATAAAATAAAATTATAAATTAATATTTAAAAATAAGATTATAATAAAAGTATCAAATATGAAATTATTATTTACTGTTATCTCATCTTGTTTGATTTCATCATCTTCATAAAAGTTTCCTTCATTTGAGTTTGATTCTAAAACATCGTAAATGAAAATAAATTCTAATAAGAAATAATGACAAAACATATAAGTAAAATAATTAAAATTACAAGATAAATATGTGTGTACCTTCTTCGGCCCATAACTAATTTTGACAACATGTCAAAGATTCTACAGTTAATGGATGAAGTCTATTACATTTTACATTCACCAATCTCCCTCCGGTACTAAAAGTAGACTCCGAAGCAACAGTAGAAACTGGAATGACATAAATATCTCTTGCAATAACTTGCAATATAGGAAATTGTGACCCAATTGTCTTCCACCAAGTCAATATATCAAAGTTTGACGTCCTAGAAATAACATCCACTTCTAAATAACGTTCTAACTCAGAATATCCTGGGTTACCCAAATCAACTGGAACCCTATCCAAAGATGCACCGTTAAAAGGTTGAGGTTCATTATTTGAGGATATCATTATTTCTTCATACTCTGTGACTAAATCCCGACATAATTGCATAATTCTTTCAACTTCATCTTTAATAGTAACCCCATAAATATTTTCAAAGTAATACTCCAACAATGTTGTTTTGTACCTTGGGTATAAAAGTGTGTCAACACCCATGATACCATTCATATCGTTCCAATATTTTTCAAATTTCTCAACCATGCATTTTTTCATTCTTGAAATAATGATATTACTGTGTAATATACTCATTCAATACCACCCTAATCCTACAAATACTCGGAAAATAAAGATTTGTTGTCGTATATTTTGTACATGAAAAACCATCGGTGATCTAGTGGAATAACTTCAGCTTATTACAAATAACCAATGCAAAAACTCGATCATCATCAGTTGGAAAATACTTATACGAAGGATCACGATGTAACTACACACAACAAGCAAAAAATCCTTATAATATAAAGTTGTTTGGAGCATCAAAAAGTAGAATTCCATCATGTTCTAACATCATAACATAACCCTTTTATAGTTGAAATACGTGATTGTCGTACTGCCTCTTCCAGTATTTCCCACCTTTTTGGAGAAGCACTCCAAAAAAGAACACTATGACATATTCTTTCTATACCATCTTCAATCACATTTAATCCATCTTTAACAATCAAATGCAATATATGTGCACAACAATGCATGTGAAAAAAAGTTTCGTTAAGCAACAACGTATTACCTCCTATCCTATCAACCAACAACTTAATGACACCATCATTCACAATACAACTATCAACTGTAATAGATGTAAGTTTCCTATCAATATTCCAATCTAGGAAACATTTCATCAAACTAGAAGCAATGACATCTGTGGTATGTGGAGCTGGTACATATCCGAACCTAATTAAACAACAAATAAAATGAATTAGTTTTAAATATATCAAAACATAACTAAATATATAAATCTATTTAAACAAATACCTTATAATGCACTTTTGTAAACTATAAGAGTTATCAATGTAATGAGCGGTAACATCCATATATCCTTTGTTTTGGTGATCTCAAGTCTACATGTTAGTTGTTATAGCAATTCTTCCTTCATAAGCCACAAACTTTGATAATATATTTACCTTCTCTTCGTACAAGTCCAAAATATCACGTTTTATAGTCTTGTGAGAAGGCATTTCAAACATAGGTTGTAGACTAGAACAATACTTTTTAAAATGTGAATGATCCACTATCGATAAAGGATATCCATGCATGATTATCATCTTCAAAGCTCTTTCCGTGCCACATCTTGATTAAGTGAGAAATCTCCTATTGTCAATTTTACATCTGACTTCTTTTGATTAGCTACTAAGACTTGTTGCCGAATGTCTAATTGAACGCACTTTATGCACCTTTTCAAATGATCACACAAGTGACTTGTCCCATTTTTCGATTCACCATTGAATATTTTTTGGAAATGGTTGCATATTTCCTTCCAATCATTGTTGATCTTTTAAGCTTACTAAAAAATCAAGTTCTTCTACATTTAAGCTTTGGTTGGCTAGCTGTCGATTATTGGGTATTCACTCTAGAAGAAGAACCGATTACTGGGTATTTGAGAATGAATTGAAAATTGTCAAATTTAATATGAAGCAGGAAATGGGTGAGAATTTGTGAGAAAAGGAATTAGGGCAAGAATCTTGAGCAGGAATGCATGATTATATGTTCGATAAATAGCATATTTTTACATATACAAAATTAACAAGCCAAAAATCATGAAAAGAAGTACTTACCTTACTAAAAATTGAAGTTATTTTACTTTTAAGCTTTAGTTGGCTTGTTGTCGATTACTGGGTATTGACTCTAGAAGAAGAATCGATGAAAGTGTGAAAAAATTGAGGTTTTTTATGTTTTTTTTACTAGGTATTGACTCTAGAAGAAGAATCGATTACTGAGTACTTGAGAATGAATTGAAATTTTTCAAATTTAATTTGGAGCAGGAAATGTGTAAGAATTTATGAGAAAAGGAAATAGGGTAAGAATCTTGAGCAGGAGAAATGTAGGAATATGATCGATGAGATAAGATTACAATTTACAAAGGGAAACTAAAAACTTATAAAAAAGAATCACATTAAGTGTAACACCCTTAACCTATATATGTACCCGTATACGAGTCAAAAATGTCATATTAGTCATACGAAACATTTACTATTTAAATGTAAAAATTAAAATCGATTTAGATAACATTTAGGCAGTTATATACTGTAATGTATCGTAAATCAAAAGTATCAGAAAACTGCTTGATTTGAAAATCGTTTGTATAAAAAAATAATTATGATTTAAATAACTAATATTCTTAACTTAAACAAAAATATCTCAAATAGACTTGAATCAGAGCAGCTAGAAACTTTTTTTAATATACATGTCACTACCAAATAAATTAACAGACAAGTTGTCCTTACTTACTGACTCTGTTGCATAAATGATTCCTCAAAAATGATACTGACACGCTCTTTATTTTATCCTCTTAGATTGCACCTACGTGTGAAACACTCACACGCTAAGTTTTCACATAATGAGGCATTAGGGAAATTCTAATAAAACCAAATAGTAACATATTGTCTTATAAAATCACAGTATATAAAATTATTAAAAATAACAAAATTTTATTACATAAAATTTTTTAAGTTATTTCACACATAAAATATATTAAACTAACTTACGCATTTGGTAGACCACCAGTGTCATGGCTGGGGCGGTGCGAAATGGGCGACTACGCAGGGCCCCCAAAAAATAGGGGCAAAAAAAGTATATCTATAGTGGCGTTTTTCAAAAAAACACCACTATTATTGTGGCTTTTATTAAAAAACGCTGATATAGATCGATCTATTGCGGCGTTTGTCAAAACAATGCCACTATTGTTGCCCCAAAATAGAATATATCTAGAAAATAGAGGCTCCTTTATAAGAATTTGTACAGGGTCCCTGACAACCTAGCCACGGCCCTGTAGACCACTTATTATTTTTCAATTCATATAACTTGTATTTTCCATACTATAGTCTTATAAATTTGTACCTCTCTTGTATTTAATTCATAGCCCAATGTACTTTGACTGAGAATATCATGTACGTGCTACATTATGATTTATTTCAGAAAAAGGATATCATCATCTCAATGGCTTTGAATCAGATTTTGATTCATAATTTAATAAAAAAAACTCAGAAACTAAAGTTGCAGGGCCGAGGGAAGAACACAATAGAAGGAGGCTCAGAAGAATCGATTGATGCCTTTATAATCACGAGATGGCTATAAAAACCCTTCATGAAATAGGTAGGTTTCAACATCACAGCCTTCTGTAATTGAAAACGAATATATTACAAAATCAAAGCTTCAAAAATTCATCGCGCAAAAGAGAAGAAAAGAAAAGAAAGGAATTCATGGAATTGGCTTCTGCAGCATCGCGTAACTATAAATAGGAAAAAGAGATGACAATTATTAGGGTTTCGTTGTGAGAGAGGTGAGAAGGGTTTGGAGTTTTGGGTTGGGCTTCATTTGTTTTCACACTTCACATCAGGCCAACTTTATTTTATTCATCGTGTGTATTTTAATATAGAAAAAATATTAAATTTAATTTAAAAATATAAAATTCATTTTTATTTTTATTTTTTTATTAATTTAATATATATATATATATATGCATATAAAATAAAATATAATGCATTAATCTAATTTGAGGGTTCCAGTCTTAGTTTTTTTTCTGGGAAAGTCTCACGTGCGATAACCTAATATACAACTAAGGAAATGCATTACCGGAAATGTTATTATTTTTTTAACATTTCCGATAAAAAATTACCGGAAACATTATTATTTCTACCGTAAATGTTATTATTGGGGGTTTTACTGGGTTTGTTAATATATCTGGTAAAGCACTACCTAAAACATTATTTTTTTTCTACTGAAAATGTTAATATTGGACACTTTACCGGAAATGTTAGAAAACATTAATGTTTTAGGTAAAAAAAATAATGTTTTAGGTATTTTTTTACTGGAAATGTTAAAAAAAAATATTTCTTGTAGCGCATTTCCTTAGCCGTATATTAAGGCTGTACAAAACTTCCCTTTTATTTCTTTTTATTGTGCGGTCATTAGTTCCTTTTCATCATCTATGTGACCGACAAAGGCATTATCCTTAGAGATGGCAATGGGTCGGGGTTTTTTTTTTCAACATGAACCTATCCTAAAAATATATATTTTTCACCTGACCTAATCCAAAGAGTATATTTCCTCCACTCGAATCCGATCCGACGAAAATATTTAGAGTATAAATTCGATCTTACCCGATATAAAATAATGCCTAATTAAAAAACTATAGAGAAAATGATATTATAACAATTATCCATAAATTTATATAAAAAATTACACTATTACTGCCAGATCGAGTCGGGTCGAAGATTTTTCACCCTCCACCCGAACTCACCCATATATAAAATCTGACTTGACCCGAGCCCAATTTTTTTTTTAAAAAATATGACCATATGGAGTAGGATTGGGTCAAAATCTGTTAGTTTCGGGTTAAATTGTCATCTCTAACCATCCTTAGTGTTGGTCACCGACTGTTAATGTTCCTTGTTCTTCCTTTTTATTATTTCATATTTTTGTTTTTTCTTATTTTTTAATTTTTAATAGTTATGTCTTTATGTTATGTTTTCTTCTACCTTTTGACACGTTTTCTTCTACCATTTGACACGTTTTCAGTTATTTGACTGTTATTTTCGTTTATCCATTTTCTTAGAGTTGGATTTGACATCGCCATGACTAATCAAGATGACGTTTATTTGTTATCATAACGATCTCCCTGCTTTGGACACTCATATTAGATTTAGATACAAGATTTACATTTGTGGATAGTTTTCTCATGTCGCTCAATTCTGATTTGCTATTTATCGGTGATATTTCAATAACTTAATTCCCTTTTATAGTTTGTTTGTAAATGCAATCAGATATGTTTGTATTTACCTTATATTCGAGTTTATTTGGTTAGGTCTTTAACCTTTTTCTTGTATAGTCATTGTGTGATCTTAAGTGACTAGTTTCTTGTGTTAATTATTATAAGAAAATGTCATTATTATGTGTATAGTTTACAGTTATGGTTGTAAACATTTATTATAATTTGAATATTTTTCTATTTTTAATAAAATCGATAGCTTCTATCTTGTCACACACACATATAATAATCAATTATAAATTAATTTTTTGAGTTGTTTTAATGTTTAGGTGCTCTCATACTCCTAAGATAACTCATGCTTGAATGTTCTCACAACTATATATTTTTTTTCTGTCATTAACTATAAAAAGATGATAGGTGTTCGCGTGTTGTGAGTACTATAAAATATACGCAAATAATGTGCAAGTATACACAATCGCTCAAGTAATATAATGATGAGTGAGTATCGTCTCCACAGGGATTGGGTGAAATTACGAAAGTCTAACCAAAGCAACGCACTAAATTATCTAAGTATAGTTAGTCTTGATATATACAAATGCCACGGCAATGGATATGTGTATGCTGGTGGATGCGGATTGATGGTGTAATGGTGTAGCAAATGAAAATGCAGTGGCAATGATGGATGTTTAATATTGAGTATGGTGAAATGTCAAGGCAATGAGAAATGATAAAAATAGTAAATAAAAAGATAAATAAAATAAGAAGAAAATAATCCTCACGTGATAAGCTTCCAATGAAATGAATGGTAAGGATTGGTCTAAGGTTGCTAAACTTATTTCTCAAGTATATTTAAGCTATCTTGTCTTTACTTACTCGACAGGGCTTTCCTAAGGTGTTCAAAAGAACCTAACAGAATAGGATGCCAAGGCATCTGCTCTCACTCAACGATGTTGGACAGCCTACTCTATTGATAAAGACACCCTTTTTAGTCGTTGAAATCCTATCCTAGTCTCTTCCGAGATCTAAGGGATTAAGTTATAATATTCCTAGGCCGGTTCAAAGCCCCTTGAAAATACCATAACCCATTGCTTATGAGGATCTTATCTTGCGTTTCTTCCGAATACTTACAAGTATTTTTAGCTTAGGATTCTTCCGAATACCTAACCTTCATCTAAGAGATGGACATTTCCATGCCTCTTACAAGCCTAGATGGTGAAGCATTCATAAGCAAAGCAAATAAAGAACCAAAATATACTTAAATATACTATTGAAAATAAAGTTCAAACAACCATTCAACCAACCACCACCAAATAAGTTAGTTCATGGTGGGGTTCGAAATATCCAAACACAAAGTCATGAAAATTCGTTCCAACAACCCACAAAATAATATAAAAATAGCATCAAAAAGGGAAGTGAGAAGAAGCCTTCGACGCGCCACCGGAGGTCTCCTCTCGGCCACCACGAACCACCTAGCTTGCTAGCTCCTTTCGGCGCCTAGCTTGTCACTCCTTGGAGCTTTATCAATGGAGGAATATCCCGAGGAAGAAGAAAGGAAAAGAAAATAAAAAAGTGATTTTTTCTCTGCTTGCGTGTGCTCTCTCCCTCTCCTCTCTCTCCCATGAGGTGTCATATATAATAAATAAAATATCTAGGGGTAATGATGAGTTTGTTGGGTGCAAAATACCCCTCATACCCCTAGGATCACATTTTATGCATGAACCTTATCCTCCAAGTGGCAGTGGTACATTGGCAGCTCTGGCAGGTGGTTACAGCAGTCCTTCACGTGCAGAGACAGCTGTCCAGTGCCAGCTGTCCTTATGCAGAAATATCTTTTTGTCTTTTTCTGCGCCAGAAATGCCAAGGCATTTCAATCTGCTTTAGCAACGTGTGATGCCGCGGCATTACTTCCCAAAGAATCCTTTTACTTGCTATTCCCTGCACACCATAGACAAACTGCACCTTTCCCTCAAACAGCACCATTAAGAAATAAAATAGTACAACCACCACAAATGCAACTACATGATCCTAAAATGACTAAAATGAGCTTTTAAACAAACAATAACTTAAGTGAAAAAGGCTTTAAAAGTAGCCTTTTTAGGAAGTTAACACACCCCCAAACTTAAGCTATTGCTTGTCCTCAAGCAATGGATAGCAGTTACATAAGCATAATGTCATGGCAAAGTTCGATAGTAAGACAACAGGACACAATTGAATTTCAACCCTCAGAATGATAGGCTTCAACATGCTAGACTTATCAAGAATTCAAGTACTTTTCCCTAGGTCAAAATCCTTTGTGGTAGTGTGTGTGCGTGATTGTATCCAATCTATACTTAGCGAATTTAGACAATTTCTAATCAAGTCCCCTAGTTTTTGTCAAGGCATTTACTTATCATTAAGCACATTTTTACTCCCTTTTCTTTGATTTTTTTTAAACTGTTACGAAGGGAGTCAGCTCATCACACCTACTCTCCCACACTCTAGATGAAAGGGAGCATACCTTCCATCCCCGAGCTAGTTAAGTAGAGTCATCCCGTGACTTCTTTCATTCACTCATATGCACAAGGCTTCCATTTATTAAAGAAAGTTCCAGGAAATGCCACGGCAAAGAGGAGTGTCCCTCTACAACTATGCTTAAGCATTTATTCACAGTTTCATTTCTAAGGGAGTTTGTTTTTGATTTTTCTTTTAAACACCATACTATATTTCAATGCCAAGACTAACTAAAGTTCCTTCATAAAAATTTCCTAAATTTTCTAAGTATAGAGAATATACAAATCGTGTAAATATTTTTCACAAAGCATCAAGCCCTAGAGTGAGTTCTATCATTCTCAACAGTCATTTACATTCAGATTCTAGCCTAACAACATTATCATCATCGGGTATCCTCAAAACATTTTATCTAACTGTCCTACCATTTTCTGATGCCATGGCATAATACTATGCTAATGCTATCATTCATATGACCTACCAAGAACAATACCTCCCCCAAACTTAAGGGAAGCATTGTCCTCAATGCTTTAAAGAGAACTAAACTAACTATAAACTATATGTTATGCAATGAAATGCAACTAAATGAAAATGGATGCGAGAGAGGTACCTCAATATTTACGTGGTGGTGAGGCCTTGGAGGTGCTAGCAGCTCCTTGTCGGGTGCGCTTTCGGATAGGTGCTGGGCTGGACTCGGAATAATTGGAGTAATAGTGCGCAATGCGTCCAGCTGTGGTCTTGGTGCGGCGACCACTACGTTGTGCATGAGAAGGATTGGGTGTTGGGTGTTTCTTCGACAGGGACAGTGGGCGGATATTCAGGAGTCTCGGACCGGTGTGTATCAGGAGTAGGGTCAGTAGCAGGAGGATCGGGTGCATCGTGCTCAGGCTCTGAAGATGCCTCGGCATTGAATGCTGGCAGAAT